GAAGGGGGGGGTATTATTATGTGCGGGGGGAATTGGAATGGGGGGAGTGTATTACTATGTGTGCTGGGGGGGACAGATTGGAATTGAGGGGAGTGTATTATTATGTGTGCGGAGGGGGTTAGTGTATTATTATGTGTTTGGGGGTGTATTATTTTGTTTGTGCAGGTGGGGAGTGTATAAGTGTGGGGGGGCGTGTATTTTTCTGTGTGCTTATATTAGGCCACATTCAGACCTATATTGCAGGTGCGATTGGGGATTCTGGTGTCACAAACTTATGTTTTCCTGCACAGGAACCCCTAATCTGGCATTTACATGCAGCAACTGTCATCCATTCAAGTTAATGATCGGGTGACAGCTGCTGCATGTAAACGCTTGCACACTGCATGTAATCATATGTGAAAGGATTACATGCTGTTAGGAATCAATCACTATCCAGGGATAGTGATTGTTTTTGTAACTGCATGTAATCGTATCACATATGATTACATGTGGTGTGCAGGCATTTACACGCAGCAACTGTCACCCGATCATTGACTTTAATGGGTGACAATTGCCACTTGTAACATGTGCATGCATTAAAACTGGTACTGTATATAGTAGCGGCCCCCACAGGACTAAAAAATTTGTCCAGTGGCCTCCAAGTAAATTGAGTTTGAGACCCCTGCTATAGAGAAATCCTCAGCTCCCTAGTTGCTATTATAGCTCTGCAGATTGAGGTTCATCTACTTAGATACAATGGATATCACTGACTGCCACTGTAAAAGAGTATGGCCTCCCAGAAACTAGAAATATTGATTTTGCTCACAGCTTCAGGTTAAATCTGTAAATGCCTCTATTGTCAAATGTTGTGAGAAAATGAATCCCACTGCTCACCTTCACCATAAGCAACATAACTTGAAATGTTTATTTTGTTTAGAAAGTCCCTATGTTTTTTTGCTATATGAATAATGACACATGAATAAATAGTGGGTGTATGAACAGACCCAACTTTCCTGGCTGATATTAATGTATATAACACCACTTCCACATTCAGCTGTAATTCCTGGCTACAGAAGCTCTGCTTCATCAGCTTCTCTGGGGCTCCCAAAGTGACATTAGGGGTCTTGAAGACCCCTGATGTCACTATAAAGCGGACCTGTCATGTAAATTGGCTATCACATAGGGGGCTTCTTAGTCCCCTGTGACAGCCAAAAAGTTAAATTAAAAAAAGTTTTACAAAATTATAGAAGCATTAAAAAAAAATCAAATCACATATATAAAAAAATAAAAAACAAAAAAAGTTAAAGTCCTCTGCCCCCACATACACTTGCAAACATGCGCCAGGTGCGCCTACGTGTGAAAACAACAATTGCGCATATTGTGCTGCACATGTTAAATATCACAGCGAATGTCGGAGTGAGAGAAATAATTCTATGGCCATCAATCACAGATAACACTACACTGATGAGCAGTAAAAGCTTTTAAAGTGTTGCCAGTGGTCTATTTACCCGACATTCCAAAGAAGTCTCCACCGCACTCCTTACTGGTATGTCCCTTTTAAGGTGGGTGCTACAGTGATAGTGGTTGCCACCACTTCAAATCCAAGTAGTAAAATATATCACCAGCACACGTCGGGTAAATAGTAAAATATATCGCCAGCACACCGAAGCAAAATCTTCAACGAGTGGTCATTTTATTGATGTACACACATCTCGTTACAAAGCAACGTTTCAGGCCACTCGGGGTCCCTTCATCTGGCATGACATCATTCCTGATGAAGGGACCCTGAGTGGCCCTGACACATTACTATGTGACGAGATGTGTGTACATCAATAAAATGACCACTTATTGCAGATTTCACTTCGGACATGTTTTTAAAGACATATTATATTAGTTTTCTATGCAATAGTGATATTAGAATAAAAAAGCTATCAAAAAGGCCCAACATTTTGTTTCCTATTGTTAATCTGACAAATGTGTTTCTCGGACAAGCAAGGAATTTGTTTAGTTATCAATAAGTCATAATTCAAAAATAGATGTTTCGTTTACAAGAATTTATCAGAATCTGCAAATTATAAACATGAGATTGTAAACATGATAATGTCATTAGTAACAAGCTAGTCATGGCTAAAATAAAAGTAACTGTAAGTTTTTATATACTTCCTTTACAATAATTTATCAGAATCTGCAAATTATAAACATGAGATTGTAAACTTTATAATGTCAGTAACTAGCTAGTCATGGCTAAAATAAAAGTAACTGTAAGTTTTTGTATACTAGTAGCTATACAATAAAATGCAGCCCACTTAAGCTCAGATTAAGTATCTGGAACTGGCATGTTTTCCAGTCAATGTTCAGCCAGTTAAAACAGCAAGTTAAAAAAAATTAAATAATGAATTGTGTCTGAATAATTAGGATAAACTAGGTAATTTTGCCTGGGTTCGATTTGCGGGGGGTTTACAGAATCCTGCATGAAATCTGCAACCGGAACTTCAAATCAAACCCCACTAAAGTCTACAGGCAGGAATCCTAAAACTACATTTTGGCCCTTTTTCAAGGCTAACTGGCATGGTATTGTCAAAAAAGAGTAGTTTGCAAGCATATGGCACTACCATAGGGGGCAGGGTCCTCCTGTACAGCGGGGAGAGGGTCCTCCCATTTAAGGTCACATGGGAAAAACACCAATCCTTTAAGGTATACACTTGGGAGATGCTTTTATGCATGTGGTGTTACAGAACAGTATGATATTCAAGGACAGTGTCAGTGATACTGTATACTTGCATTACATATTTTGGATGTCTAACTTATTTTTTAACTTTTAAAATTAGCTCAGCTTATTATTACAGCATAACAGGCCAATCTGATTAATTTCAACTTAGAAAAAAAAGGTTTTTACTGTTTATGTACATAGTTTGTTAAAGTAAATAACAAGATACTATCACTTGGCTAGCCTATTTTAATGCTTGTAAATCACCTGGTTTCATGCTCTGCCAAAGTAAAATATATGCTTCTGTCCTTATGCACCTTGGAAAGATAAATTCAGAGGTTGTCACATTTTTTAAAAAAGGTCTGTGAAAAGCACAATTGCTACCAACAACTGCTACCAACAACAATTAGGAACTGTGCCATGTACAAAAAAACTTGCAGTCTGTTATCACTGTAGTACACGTGGGCAGGTACAAACCGTAAATATACATTCACAACCAGCAGCAAATAGGAAATAAGAACTGTGGGGAAAAAACATGCAGCCTGTTATCACTGGGTCTGTGAGCAGGGACAGACTATAAAGAGGCTGCAGGGAATCATTAAGAGCATTAAGATGGAAAAACCCTACCCTTCACCTGTACATTTTCCAAGATACACTGCATTTTCCTTCCCACATGACATTCAGTAAAGGTTTATATTTACTTTAGGAGACCGACAA